TAATATACATATATATATTAACCATGGTTATCCATATTATTTCTATGTATCAAACAGACGCGGAGCGGGTTTTGCTTCCTAAAATGGCGGACGTGGCGCTCCATTGCGTACTACACGTCATTGCACGTGATTTCGCATGAGTGGTTTATCTTGTTCACTCTACGATCTTTGGTTCTGACACCTAACCAATGTATGATTGGGTTGAGTATAAATACCAAATTAGTGTATTTATGGGTGCGTGCGTGCGTGCGTGCGTACCTGGGTGCATGCGTATTTTCATCCATGTCTCTGTACCTGTGCACAAGTACAACTCGATTACATAGTTAACATTAGCTGTTGCCATTTGGCTTTGTGGCTGCGGTTGCCATGGCTGCAGCGGCCTCCCTGTTATTGATCACGTTACCTGTGCAGCTATAGTGTTGCTATGAGAGGTGCCAGAAACTAATTGAAGTATTTATAAGTGCTTGCTGAGACCTGGAAACTGTTTGTTATACAGGCAAGTAGTTTGTTATACTACAATGCAGCTAAAGGATGTCTATAAATAGTGTGGAAAATTGATCTTGGGTACATGCCTTGCACAGGCAGCATTAGTCCGCAAATGCAGACGTAAACTCCGCTTTGCTAATCTGAGGGTGCGGGTTTATCCCATTACTGGGGTCTGTGTCGGCTCGGACTAAGGCAGCATGAGAGAGTGAGTTCAATCGCTACGCTATTACATTCATCGCAAGTCATTCGAGTGACTGCTGCAATACATCTCTGGGTACCTACATTGATACATCGTTACCCACTTACCATTCATCTCAGCCTATCAGTGCTAAGCTTTTTCTTCATTATTTGCAGTCATTATCCTACGCGTGTGCATATAGATTTATATACTATTTTGCACTCGCACTTCTGTAGTTGATCCGGTGTATTTTTCTCTGCAGATGTGTGCGTAGGTGATGGCAGACCCGGTAGATGTGCCCGTCGCCGCCGGCAACGACTCAAAGTTTGATGCCCTCGTAAACTTTGAGATAGAAAAGAAGATCGGCAAGGGTCAGTTCAGTGTCGTCTACCGAGCGAGATGCAGGTTCGATTCTAGCATCGTCGCGCTTAAGAAAGTACAGGTAAATCGACTTAAATCAAGTTGCTGGCTCAGGAGTAGATTCATAATGTAGGTGCTTATGTAGGTGTACGTGTGTAGATGCCTTATATTGATATATTGGAGACGTATCACTCATGCATGGTTTGTGTAAGAATCTACGTGAATTTGCTTGTGCTGCCAATCATATATAGAGTGTGACGTGTTCGATGGAAGCCATTAGAAGTTACCATGCTTCTTACATTCTCATAGTATAGCTTAATAGGCATGCAGACTCCCAACTAATATAAGCAGCCGGAAATGAGAACCTGTGTGAATGACTACATGCCTGTTGAGATTTCAGCCAGCATTCACTCTTAATAAACTTTGATCTGAAACTGAATGAAAATAGATCTATGGTCATGTTGGGCAGTATAATCAACCTTTATTCTCATGCAAAGTGAAGTGCCCAGTGTTTCTGTGAGTTGCTTGAAGTCTTTAGCTTTTCCTAATGGGCTTTAATGGTATTTTGTCAGATTTTTGAGATGATGGATGCAAAGGCACGCCAAGACTGCATCAAGGAGATAGATCTCCTTAAGGTGAGAGGAGTATATAAGACTATATCTAACATATAGATAGTATAGTATAGATAGTATAGATAGTATAGATAGTATATATAGTAATAGTATAAATAGGTGCATGGTAAGACGGATGCCTACCTGGCATGGCAACCCATAGTTCAATTAGCCACTGGCATAAAAAATGTCGTTTCCAGGGTTGGAAAATGGGCCATAGTCCTGGAACGTTCTGTTAAACGTCTTATTTGTGTTTGGTCTTAGAAAGTCCTTTAAATTAAACTCTCATCTTTCTTGTCTGATAGGCAATTAAATTTGCTCTATGTGAGAAATTGTTCTTTAATTGTTGATTGGACGACATGGGGCACAAAGATTGTGGTCGGTTAAAATCTTGCAGTAGATGAAGATCGTTCTTCAACCTCTGAAAAACTCCTGGAAAGTGTTGCCTCATTTGTGCGAATATTGAGAGTGGCACAACCCCACAGCCATTAGGCATGGTAGTAATCCAGGGCTTGAAACTAACACTCCTGCTCGCGCAAGGCTAGTAGAAATCCTAGAAGGGCTAGTAACATGTTTTGGCTGACCATCCCTGCTGATGACTGTGGGTAATACTCACCGGTAATCCGTAGTGCTACTTTAGTGCCGTATAGCTACTTTTTGTGCAACTGATTCCATCTAATTTAAGTATAAAATTTGTGTGTGGCTAATGTCAAAAAATTACAAAACCTCACCTTATCACAAAGTGATGATGAGAACTGATGACAGGCACCAGGGTCAGAAGACCAAATTACATGTGTAGTTGCACGTGCTCAAGTAAAGTCGAAACACTGGCTGTTGATGATGTACGGGTTTAATAACCGTCAACTGAAATATATACAACTGAACGTCATTAAATATAACCAAATACAACTACTAGAAAAATATAACTAATGCAACTAAAGATATATTACAGCTGTCTCTTACTAACTTTGCCCTTGCGTCTCTGTTGAGCACAGTGCAAGTATACTAAAAATATGGTTATCACCTGGAATAAGACGTGCACATAATGCTCGTGCGTGTGCTTAACTGTTAACTGGTATAAGACGTGCACATAATGCTCGTGCGTGCGCTCAACTGTTAACTGGTATAAGACGTGCACATAATGCTCGTGCGTGTGCTTAACTGTTAACTGGTA